TTTTAAAGGCTACGCAATAATTAATATAAACAATACATCAAAGTCTTTCCATGTCTAAGCTTTCATACAGGTTTTACGTAGAAGCTTGTTCCTCAACAATGGTATTATTCCAAATCCAAACAAGTAATAGACTCTATAGTGTCATCTGTTAAATCAAAACTGATTGGCAAGATTATCTGGTCTTACTATTAAGAAGGTCTTGGTCATTAATCACACCTTCAGAAAAAGGAGCTTCACAAAAGTTGAGTCTGTTATGTCCTGAGATTTTATTACTATTGATGTTTTTGGAAATCACCTCCCCTTTTCCAGATAAAAAACATGTACATTATTTTAGCAGAAACAAAACCTAGAAGCTCTATCCAGTAGAAAAATGTCTAAAATAAAAAAAGTGAATATAAACTGGCATGGAGTGCACATAATGTATAGGCTGATGTTAACAAAAAGCATGTAAGTAAAACTAAAAATGAAAGAATGGTTTTGGAGAAGGAACGCTCTGGTAATAATCAAAAGAAAGAATGAAGGACTGGTTAGTAGGATTTACTGTAGAGCTATATTGAATGTCAAGGAGGATGAAAAATGAAATTGGGGCACAATTAAAGGAATGGAATGAGAGAAAAAATGAAACCGGATTTCTAGTTTGAGTGACAAATGAAGTCCAGATAGTGACAGGGAGAGACTAGACAAGAAGTTGCGTTCGGAGTCCAGTTTTGATGAAGACACAAAGCATGCAAGAGACTGTCTCAGTTAAGAAAATCAAGAGGTGAGATTGGAATGATAGAGATGTTAAGACAGACAGTTAGGCATTCCAGTACAGTAGTTTAATTTATAGTCAGAAAATACTAGGGAAATACAGAGTGAAGTTGAATTTTTTTTGTCTTGACTTCTAGCCAGTTTATTTCATGTCCACTTTGCTTTTAAAGTCTCTTACCCATGCTCTCTGCTCTGTTTTTCTTTCCATTTATTATTTTAAGTATTCTCATTCAACCATACCTTTTGAGAAATTCAAGGAAAAAGCAGGTATGATTAAGGGCTAAAATAAACTCTGTAAAGAATCTAATTACTTCAGAAAACATACCAGTTTACTTTGCAGTACTTCTTTTTTGCTTTATAGAGGCCAAGAGAGGATTAATCTAAAATTTTTGTTTGTGATTTTGCCTTTTATTTCAGTTTATATAATTAAAGAGTTCCCAGGACTACTTTACATTTATTTTGTTCATCAAAACATACTTCTCAAATGTTATGAAAATGGAGTCCAAAAATAATGCAGTCCAAATCAAACCCATTCAATTTTCTCTTGGAACACAATCGATGATAAAGTCATACCTTGTATCTCATTTTTAACTGAGTAAACGCTGTGTTGTCCCTTAATGCATAATTCTTTAGAGCGTTCACTTTATGTTCTCCCACTTCAGTATGATACCCTGGTGACACATGTAGTGAGATGCATATATCAGGCAGCATGCAGTTATTTCACAATTACTATTTGAGGATTAAATCCTCTCTGCACTGAAGTCAGAGGTCTCATTGGGTCACTCTTGTGTGTGCTTACATTATCATAGAAAGGAAATACTCAGAGGGTTAGGAACCTCTATTTTGATCACTAATTTTTAATGAAAGGTGGGGGGGGAAAAGTAGTGTGTCTGTTGTTAAGGTTCTGGGAAAGAGGAGAAAAATGAATTTAACCAATCTCAGCTAATATTCATAAAATATTTTCTCTTCTCTTGCATCCTCTTTTCACGTAAATTTGAGTCACAGCTGATCATGTCATTGTCCTGAGCAAAAAAAGACTAGAGTGGTTTTAAGGAAGTAGTTTTCATAGGGACTGAATGTATTTCATGAAAAAGGTGGCACCTTCTAATGCTGAAACTCTGGCCTGCTGTGCATGTGCGTATTGTGCATCTTATTGTTTACCCCATGTTAAGGGGGGGAAAATTAGTATTTTTCATCTCTTAAAATCAAACCCTTTCCCAGACTCACTGCAAACAGAGCAGACTCTTCAAAGTTTCTTTTTTTTCTACCTGTGAATTCTTATCAGGAAGCTGAAATGTGCAACCATGAAAGCTGGGAAAGTAACTTGAAATACCACTGTGTAGCATAGAAATGCAATAGAGAATTTCAGTCACTGAGCTGTTAATTCTGGTTTTAGAAGCGATACTTTTGAAGCGGTAGTCAACTAAGCTGCAGAATCTGCCAGAAATATCCCTTCCAATTGGGAACAGGGTGTTCCTAATAAGGAAGACGAGAAAGAGGACATGAGAGTGAGCACTCTCTGGCTCTGGGAATGGAGCTGCTGCTAAAGCGTTCATTTAGACTGTCTAATGATAAGACATTCTGATGAACAATCCACGTTAAATTTTTGGTAGGCTAAACTGGAAATATTCTAAAAAGGACTGAGCCAAAGTAAAAGATCTTGAAGTTTTAGCTAAACACAATTTCTGATATTAGAATCAGCAATTAGGCATTTTGTGAGCGTCACGAAAAATGTTGGTTCTGCTTGGATCAAACGTGGAGTATTTAATATCAAAATGATACAGTGTGTATTCTGACATGTTAGGAAATGGCCCTGATCTGTGCAATTGTGTCAACCAGGCTTTTTGCTTTTTTTCGGGGGGGAAGGGGTTTTGCACCATCCCTAGCAGTTGGCAGAGTGGTGGTATGACTGTTGGGAGCAGCATCTCTCAAATCAGAGGCAAGTTGAGGATCACCATTTGGGAGTCACAGTTGTAAGACAGTGCACAATTGCTTTGCATCAGCATCATTTGTTTTATGCTTGTGATTTGGATGCAGCAGAAAGCTAGCAATGTTGGGAATGAGTATGACTGCTCAGGAGAGTGAGAATTGCAGTTTCCTTTTCCTGGCTGTGCCTACTCACATCAAGACTGTTGACTTTGGAAAGGTTAAAATAGCAGTGTAAGGTTCAATTTCAACACGTGTTAGGAGAAGATACTTTAGCCAAATGTTCGTCAGACACTCCCCAGCCTTTGTTGCAAAGGAACACTCATACCCACACTGCTCGTCAGAAATAGTCTGTAACAAAGGACAATGTCTGCATCTTCTTCTTAGGGATATTGCAAAGAAGGTGATATTCAAAGCCTACACTAATGTCAAGAGATCTGTGCTATGATTTTGAATGTTTATCATCAGTGGTGCTGAGCATTGCAAAAAGAACAAAGAGATGGCTCTGAAGACATGCTCTTTTGAGTGTATGATACAGCCAGAAGCTTTGTTACTATTCTGCACTAGGTTTTCCTAAGTAGGGAATGGTAAGGAAAATGTTGGAAAATATACCAAAGTTGTTAGTGATGTTTTACCAAGAATGCCAGTCCACCCGGATCCTGAATTTGATCCAGCCTGGCAGTCGCTGTGTTCCAGAGATATGGGGGAAAGGCACAAGGTTTTTTTCTGCATCCTCTTTCTGTAATGAGCAAAAAGTCAGCCAAACATTTCTAGCCTTCTCCAGGAAACATCCCTGATAAGTATAACATTTAGGCACTTAATGAGCAGGATTAATGCACACGCTTAAGTTTATGGTTATTTTTAAGTTCTATGCCTTGAATCTAAGCTGTAGAGTAGATGATTAAAGACAAATAGCAAGCATTTATGAATTTCTGGACTCATATATGTAAACTATGTAATCTGCAGGCTTGGATTCACTTGTAGGAGGTTAATTAACTTCCATCTTCTGTTGGTTTTGCTTGTCCAAAGCAGTGTTACATCTTGTCTCCTTTTCTTCAATCCATCACTCCAGACACCATGAGCTGCAGCCTGACTGCAGTGTGATGTGAAAGCTGGAGAGGGGCTCCTTTAGTTGAAGTCCCATGATTACACACTCGTGTATTGTGTGGCCAGAGAATGAAATGTTTGTGTCACATGAGTGAGGAATATATGCACAGATCTGTTCTCCACATGACATGAGAATTACCTCCTCCTTGTCTAAACTCATGTGCATATAGATGTAGGTGATTTACAGTAAAGAAATAAAGAATGTGAATTAGGCTTCAAACCAAGGGTGAATGGGCAAAGAGATGACGATTTATGGCTGTTAATATAGATTAGGGAGAACTATAAAAATTTTAAGAAACATTTACGAAAGATAGGATCTAAATTATATCAAGTGGAGATGTGTTATTTCTTTGCTTCTGTCTTTATGTACATTGCCAGTTTAGACCATAAATGGTTCAAGATGCCAAGCACACATTTAATTTACTGATGTTCTCAATTCTGACTGTTTCACTGAGTGCTTAACTTTTGAGAGGTTTGTTTTTCTGAAACACACCAAAATAGGGTGATTGCTTGAGAATCTCAGTTCTCAAGTAAAGTTCATTTCTAATTCTCCATCATGGAAATAAGCTTGAAAACTTCAGAGTGATATGCATGAAATGAAAATAAAAACAACCTAATATGTATTTTAATAATGTAATTACATTTCATTGTCTTATGAGAGGTGAGGCAATTCAAAAAGTCATATGTAAGTGTTTGAGATTGGCAGCACTGGTTTCTATAGTTTATCAATCCTGATTTATTTTTACATAATTTGGGGAAGATTCTTTGCAGACAAAGCTGGTAGAAGATAAGAGAAGAAATGAAGAGCCTGAAATTCACCCAGCAGCCTGTCAATATTTGGCAAAATTGACTTTCTTTCTTCATTGTTATAGCTAAACTTTAAAAGAAATGGCAACATTTAAGTATTTCCATTGTTACATAAAATTGATTATAATTCCATCTGTATTTGTTGATGCAAGAAGATTTGTGTCTATCTGGGTTATCACTACATTTTGATTCTATTCCCTTTGTCTCATTTCTCACTTTGAGACTCTTGGCTTGTTTTCTTTAGGTTTGGGGGGTTTTGGTTGTCAGCTTTTCCTTTTTCAGAATTGTAGCATTTGTTTCTTTCATTTCTTGACGTAAATGCTCCAGTCACCTAAAGTGTAGCTTCAAGCAGTCCTTTGTGTTGCTAAAAGAAATTAGCTAAATAGCACTGTTTAATTAATTTCAGGACCGCCTCTTTTTCGTCATGGAATATGTAAATGGAGGAGACCTAATGTTTCAAATCCAACGCTCACGCAAATTTGACGAACCTCGATCCCGCTTTTATGCAGCAGAGGTCACATCAGCACTCATGTTCCTTCACCAACATGGCGTCATCTACAGGTACTTTTTTTGGTCAAAAATAAAGTATTCTTGAGGCTTCGGGCTGGTTTTGGCTGAAATCCTCTGTCTCTTAGCAACCAGATTTAGATTAGTTGTTTGTTCCAATTTGCTTACATGGAACTTTATTTGGCTGTTTATCATTGAGAATGTTAACATTTGAATAGCCTCTGCAGCAGTCGCCAGCTGTGTGTGCCAGTTTTCTATTATAGTCCAAATAAAGCGGTTTTGAAAAAGCTTGGCACAGTGTAACCCAGAGGTGACCTTTCTGCAGATCGGTGCAATCTCTTCACTTTCCTCTCTGTGCCATAGATTTCCTCTTGGTTTCTAACTCCCTGCCACTTCCTGAGTTTGTTTGTCCTAGTTGTCTCCACTCGGATACAATCAGGATGGTCGTTCGCAATGCTTTGCTTATGCCCCTTCCTCTTGACTGTTTGGGTGAAGGCTTAGTCACCAGAAGGAAGTGGCTCTTTGCAGACAATTCTGATTTGCTTGCAAGTGCCCTGCATCTATTTGAACCACCCTCCACCCCGCCCAGATCTCTAATCTTCAACACCCATGCAGACATACACACGAAAGTGCGTATTGTTGCACTGTAGTGAAGAATGATTTAGGGGTAGGCTTTTACTGTTAAATGTAAGGAATCACTTTGAAAATTTTCACTCTGATGTTAATGTGTTTCAGTCCTTTATTTTGTCATTTCACCCTTCCTCTCTCTTTTCATTTGTTTTTAGCAACCTGTCATTGCTTGTGATAAATTTGGGCTTTCACAAGCAGCATGCTTTGCAGGTTTTGTGTTACATTTCTGTCCTGTCTATTAAAATTCTGTGTTCTGTGGATCTGAGTTTTGATATTCTCTTGCTGTTCTCACCCTCTTTCAGTTAATCAGTTTTGATTTGGGGTAGTCATCTCAGGATCATACAGTCTCAGATTTCTTGAGCAGAAACATCAAGATGAGAATGTGGAATTTGTCACATCCCTGGATTCATACTGAGTACTAGAAATCGAAAGAGTTGAATTCTACATGTTTAGTAACCAGGACTGAATGGTAACTTCTACAGAAGCCATTGGCTTTCCCATCAACTGTGATTCAAAGAGAAACTTCTCAGAAGAGGAGTCTCTTTCCAGAGATGTAGCAAACAGCAGGATATTGCATCTTCTAAGGAAAATAAATCTCTGTGAAAGTAATCTTTCAGTCAAAAATCCAATTTCTTTAGAAAACTATTCTGCTAGCTGCAGCTCTTAATCTCCATCCTTTAACAATACTGGTATGATGTTTGCATACTGGGTTGGACTTTCAGCCGTACCACTTTGCGTAGGTTTGTTTTCAAGTGCTGAAGATCCAACACATTTTCTTACCTTTGCTGCCAAAATCATATTTCCTATTTGTTGTCTGCATTTATTTCCAAAGCTATGTATTTGTACATTTAGATAGTAGAACATGGCAACTGCAGAGTTTACAACTATCCATCATATGGGAAGCAGACAAGACTGGTACTTTAAAAAGTGAAGGATTTTTTTTCCATAAAAAGATTTGAGCTGATTTCCTCTTCCTGGAAACTGGAGTTTAGACACTTTGTAGTTAGCAGACAGTTTAGTGATTTCTGTGATCCAGCAAGAAAGAATTGGTAAAATTCCCTTCCCCTTCTTTATATGAGTGTGCATTCATTCTGCCTCTTCCCTTGCTGCTCCCATCCTTTGACACACATCCTCTTTCTCTCCTCTCTTTCTCTTTTCTCCCTCTTTTCCCTTGTCTTATAAGTAGCCTCTGCTGTGTGTTGGCTCTTAGCTGTGTTGAATTGCTTCATGTGCCCGCGTTCTTTCTGTGACTTTTTATCATCAAAATGCTTCAATCCCAGGGGAAATGTCATTCTGATGAGAAAATGTGTAGTAATTTAAACTTTGTAAGATAGTCTCAAATTCTGATTCAGAGACTTTGCTGACATGACTTTGGCATGCTATAGTAAAACTTAAAATTGTAAATGAAGTGTTTTATTGGATGATTATCAGAGAGGCAAAAGGTAAGAAATTACATGAGTTGTAGGATGAAAGCAGATATTAGAAAAGGCAACAGGAACAATATTAGGAACAGATTTAGCTGTATTCTGCTTTGACACAGGCTTTTGGGTCCGGACATAGTTACGTCCGTAAGAATAACTCATTTGTCCAATTGGGGGATAATAGCAGCTTCAACTATTTGTGAAATGTATATCCCAGTTACTCTATAAAATACAAGTAGAAGGAAGAAGTTAGAGATTATTTTAAAAGAATTGACTATAAGAAAATGTCACCATCGTAGTGTGCCAGGCTATGGGAGAATGCATTTCTTGATGTCAAGCGTGTATTAGAATAGTTGTCTGTCTCGTACAGGAGAGTTTCAGCCTGATTATTCCGTTCCTCACTGCATCATTTATTACAACATTAAAAATGCATTGGGATCAAGTCACTCCTTTACATCTGCAAAGATCTTACTAGCTGGCAAACAAGGAAAGGAAAGGAGGGGGAGATGGGGGGGGAAGAAAAGAAAACCTATGCTCCTGAATAACTACCAGTCATAACTACCTAACATGCCTTCAGATATTTTAATAAAGAATACTTGTCTTCTGTGTAATTATATTTCCAGAAAAAACATTGTGGTGTGAAATTAATGGTTATTCTCCAAAGTGGGAAATGCTGCTTGTGTGGGCAATACTTCAAGGAAAGTGGGGAATATATAAATAAACTAAGATGTTTGATGGAAATGCAGGTTTCAAAATAGCTGCTATACCTTCTGATCTTTTTTCAGCCATGTATGTGGAAGTATTTGTTTGGAGCTAAACATAGTTATATTTTTGGAAGTAAATAGCTAGCTTTAGTTCATGCTTTGGCTTGTTGGTTAGATCTTTAGAAAGTGCTATGATGATACTAAATGATCATCTTTTATAATAACTAGTTTATCCTCATTTCCCCTGAAGTTCAAAGAGAAAGCTAACTCCTGTTTGGCAATAGAAATTCTTCTGTAAGTTACATCTTTGCAACTGGCCCAGCACTTGTTCCCAGACTTGTCCAATTATCTGTGCTCACTGGAATTACATACATTCCTTCTGTTTATCGAGTTTATGTTGGAAATAAAGGTGGACATCACAGCTTTTATATATAAAGGTGCTGCTGTTACTAAATGCATCTTGTATGATAGATAAACTTCAGGATAATTTTCAGTGTGGCATTGTTAAGGGTATAATGTTACTGTTGTTGTGTCAAAAACACTTCAACAACTTAATAAAAATATTTGCATTATCCCTGCCACCTTCCCTCTCATCTGGCATTCAGCTATTTGGGCATATGTCAAGCTGGGGCCTGATAATACAAGTAGAGTCAATCAGACACTAGAGAAGTTTCAATCACAGTTTCTGGCAGTTGTTGTTGTTTGTGTTATGCAATTGCACTGCTTTGAAAAAATGTATGCAAGCCTCAGGAATTAAGGGCTAGACTATGAATCTCATTCCGCCTGTGAGCTGAGCTGCACTTTGAACTCGATGATGAAAGGTTGTGGACTCTGTTCACTGTCACCTGTCCCTGGAGTTTATTGTGTTTAAAGTCAGTCATTGTTGGCTTAATATATATTCTCATATAGAGAAGTTGCAACAAACTGGGTTAAGAAACTGCCAGTTCCATATTCCTCTCTTGTACTGATGTTTAATGTTCCTGTGCACTTTTTGCAGATCTGTGTAAATGTTACATGTTCTTGTTTCACCCGCAGTTTAAGGGCTGAGGTCAGGAGTATCCGGTGGGTGTTTCTGTCTCTTCTTGTAGGAGTTCAAGTGAGGTGACACAAGTGACCCACTCTGGCCTGAAATACATACAAAGAACTGCTGTCTCCCCAGGCTTGAACATCAGCACTAGAATGGGGTACCACTTCATTAACATAAATGCTGGTGTCCCCACTTCATATATGATTAGGGAATAACTGTGTGAGCTACAAACCTTGTTTCAGTGAATACCTGAAGGGCCATGTCTGTTGTGTGATCTCTGGTGTGCTCCAAGACCATTGAGGTGATTGTAAGAGGTGCTCTCTCCGAAATATGAAAGAAGGAAGCTACATCTTGGCTGGGAAATTAGTGTCACCTGCTTTTTGTTTCAGATGTACGGTCTGTGAGATATTGCCTTGAAATCATACAGCACCTGGTCATGGGGGAGTCCTCATTTGTAACTGTGGGTCACAGCGTTCCTCCAGCCTGTAACTTGCTGCAGCTTTCTGTGCACTCTGCAATTAATATGTTGGTCATGATGAAGGATATATTAACACCAAATTGAAGACAATGTGAATATAAATATGCTGATGCCAATCCTTGAATACCTCCAGGCTCTTTCCGTACACAAATACCCTAACAACTTGTTTGAACACTAACTGAATTTTTCTTTGGATGATCGGTTTTCCCAGCATTCCCATTTTTTGGGGCAACACACACCAGTGTTTCAGAAAGAACTACTACCTAAAATTAAAAGCACTTTCATTAGTGTGTTTATATGTGAAATAAGAATATTTAGAAAGTCTGACTTCACTGGTGGTTGTATGATTCAGTGCAACCTTGGCAGAGTGGCAAGGAGTTATATTTACGCTTATGAAAATGTTGCATGGTCAGTGGTTAACATGTTAAAAGTCATCATTCTCCCAAGTTACCTTACTGTGTTATTTCTGAGCGGCAGTAGCCAAATAAAATTCCCCTTCCCCCCCCCCCCTTTTTTTTTCTTTTGCTTTTAAAATACAGAACTAGACATAGGGCGTTTTGGCTTAAATTTGCTTTTAAGTGTGTAACTATCATCTTATTGCAAGTCTAAACAGTTAAAGTTTAAATTGGTGTTTGAGCTATGGTCTGTGAAGGAGCGCAAGAAAGACCTTGGATGCTCATGTAGCATATTCAGACCTAAGCACAGGACTATCCTGAACTCAAGCCCTTCCCCACATAAACTGCTCATTGCAGGAGTCTGCTACAGAGAAGTTACAGTTCACTTCTGGAGCAAGT